TGAGGTTTTAATGCGAATGACGTTGGACAATGTTACCCTATAATTTTATTTACTTACTTAGTCATATTCATAGACAACGTAGATGACAAAGAGCATATATATGATTACGATCACTTTGGCCTGCTAGTGCTTATCGACATTTATAGGAAACTTTTTTTTTTTTTTTTTAAAAATAAAAAGCAAGTGCAAGGTGTGGTTGTAAACTGAGATTTCCGTGGATTGCAATGCAAAAGTTGAATTTTACGAAAAATATGTTACAAATGTCCCGTGCCTAAAGAGTATAAAAGACATTTGTGGTGTAAACAATATTTACATGTATATCGGTGAAAAAACTCCAATATTAGGAAACAAATTGTATTTTTTAATTACATATTACGGAAATTATTCTAGTTGAGAAATGATAATTTTATTTTTAAAAATATTTAATTCAACTACATATTTAAATTCCAATTTCATCTTAGAATGTAATTATTACATGAGTTTGATTTTAACTCAACATTATTTAATAATTTTAAATAGGTGAGATATAACTAAGTTTTCCTCAATATACTCTTTTATATTTAATAATATTAGATATGATGTATGTATAAATAGTAAATAACTTTTTTATTATTAAAAGATCTATAATAATTCTAGTATCATTTTAGAATATGAATTTGAACTTAATTTAAGTTTATTAAACAAGAATTTAACTTTACCAAGCAAGACATGTAAAATGTGATTATCCCCATTTGTCCGATTATCAACATGCTGATAATAATTTAAACTTTGTGAGTAACTTTTAAACTTTTGAAAAAGAAAAAAGAGCGAAGGGTTGTCCTTAGTTGAAGCTTCGAGGTAGCTGCGCGGGATGAGAGAAATAATGACACAAACTCGTGACCTTAAAGTCTTGATGCAATTCAAACCTTTTTGCTGTGCTTCTCCCATTCAAAATTTGGGTCATGTTATTAGGTGCAGTGATTCATTATTCATCACAGTCATTAATTAATGTAGTAATAATAGTACGTATGAACTAGTAACTACTTATGGTTATGTATGGGTTTTGATTTTTGAATATTGGGGCAGGTCAACTCACCTAATAATTCGATCGTTTTTGTTGACTTTCATGCACAAAGATAAATATCTCTATCAATCTCTAAATGATGTCATTACGTGTCTATAGTGAGATTATTAAATTAAATTAAATCAAATCACCTATGACATCAACAACACCTTGCCCCTTTTGACCACAAGAACAAGGCTTTCGTTCATTACTACATATACTATATACTACGTTTGCGATGCACAACACCACACTTGCACATCACGAAAACCAAGTATTCATCGTCCACTTGTTTTTCTGTTTTTTTTTTCCCTTCATCTTTTGACTGTACTCCTTTTCATCACCGTTGATCATGTTCGTACAACATCAGAAACAATTTTTTGTTTCTATTTTTAATAATTGTTGACCCTATTTTCTAATGGTGTAATTGGAAGGAGGGGTTTGAAAGGAAAGATAGGGAGAGATTAGTATTCTATTTTACACTGACAGGGTTATATTGTGTACAATACAATGAATAATAATGGATGAAAATGGCCAAACTGTAAAATATTAATTCGAATTGATAAATAATTAACCTTTCTTTTTCGTTCTATTCATAAATCCCTTCATTCAAACATATCTTAAATGAAGAAAATAATAAATACTTTTAATGTTCTCAAATTTCTTTATAAAGTATTGAGAAAATAGAATTAATTATTCGATCTTACCAACCTTTAATTATGAATTAATTCAACCACAAAATGAAATTAAAACCTGCCATTAATATTTATAGGTACAATGAATAAAAGATTAAACATTGAAATAACTCCGGCACATGTTTTGTTATCTTTTAATTATTATTTCAATATATTTTGATGTTATAACTCACTAATACATTTCACTAAGATTTGTTTTAATTATCCTTATAGGTTGTAAGGAAACATAAGTCATATTCTTGTTTTAGACAAAGACACCATCTCCTTTTAAAATGTTTATCACCGAAAAAAACTGACACATGTTATTAAATAAGTTATAAGTGTCAGAATGAATTAAATAAGTTAGAAGTGTCAGAATGAGTCAAATTCGGTGGATCTGGCTCATTACGGATTTGGACTAGACTGGAATAAGAAAAATATATATTAATTTTGGCTAAATTTTAACCCAACTCACTTAACTTGTAAATCAAACGGGTTCGAATTTAAGTGAGTCGAGTTGTCCCATTTAGTCCACTAATAAAAAATTATATATATATATATATATCGTTTACTCTAAGAGTAAGTCTACTTAGATTTATTCCGTTCAATAACTCATGTTCTACATCAAATTTCAACGATCCAACTGTTGAATTTAAAGTTCTTAATACATAGATCAAATCTGTAAATTTTTAAAAAATTTAAAAGTCATTTGATACTTCATTTCATTAATTCAAATCAATGTATAAAATGATTTTATAATTATCCATCAATTTGAATTAATGAAATGAAGTATTAAATAATTTTCAAATTTTTAAAAAATTTGTAGACATGATCTATGCATTAAGAACTTTAAATTCAACGGTTGGATTATTGAATTTGATGTAGAATATGAGTTATTGAACAAAGTAAGCCTGAGTAGACTTACTCTTAGAATAAACGGATCTCTCCTCACACACACACATATATATGTTTTATGTAATTTTTATTTAAAATTTTGATTGATATTTTCTTACAAATTTGCATTTGAATCAAGGATAGACTTAGATTTTTGGATATAAAAAATTATCTTTTTTATTTATTAAAAATAGAAACATGTGATTATTTTTTTATTTTTAAAAAGTTCGGTGAGGCAATTCACTTAATCCACCAATCTATAGTAGATCAGTCGAGTTGAAATTTTTCTGACTCACTAAAAAATGAGTTAGATTAAATTAGTCTGTTTAAAATAACATGTGGTGAGCTAACCCATGTGTATCGGATTGACTCACTTTTGATACCTCTAAAATAAGTTTCTAAAATAAGTTGAATAGAGTTAGCCAAAAGAAAATCAATCAAAAGGACGGTCAGCAACGTTAATGTTTTTCAAGAGATTATGGTGGAGACTAGATCAAATTTATGGCTTACATTTCAAGAATATCAACCGCCAATATTGATGACTTTTTATATGTAATTCATATATACACCTACTTTAATTTTAAGAGGGTTGCCTTCAGGTCAAAGAATGAATACATGGACAATTGAAACATGGTGCTTTTGGTATTGATGTTCTCAACAATCAAGCTAAACGCTACTGGCTCAAGAATAATTATTTGACACGTTGGAAGTGGAACATTTCTATGCATGCACAACTTTTGCTGCATAGCGATGGAGTAATAATGCTGCAATTTTTGTGATTTACCAATTGCAAGATTAACAAATATATGCAGTTATATATTTATTTGCCTTCAATCATGTTTCTTCAAACTAACAAAATACATCAACAAGTCGTTTTGAATAGATTTCTTTAAAATGTTTTCAGTTCAAATTTTATAGATAAAAAAAATGACTAGTAAAGGTGATTGATCGTGGGTTCTGTGATATTGATTATTGACAAAATTTGTGCATAATTCACACCAACAACTTGGTTAACAAAAATTATGAAAACACCAAAAATGTGTTAGTAGCCAAAAGAAAAAGAAAAATGTCATAATTTGATCCAACAGCATGCTAAGGGGAAAAACCAAAGCAGTCTCTCGTCATATGTATGTACTGATTTGATCGCATTATCCAACTTGAAATGCGCACCATCCATTTGGATCATTCATGAGAAAGAGATAAATCTTTGTTTTTTGTTTTTGGGTCTTTGCGAGAATGTGATTTGTCAATCAGTACCATTTTTCTGGGTCTCAGATCCATCATCATTATGTTCCCAAAGTTGGGTTGGAAAGTTTTCAACAACAGTAACCGAACATTTTGGCCCACTAACTGCATTAGGCCCAATTCTTGGGCTAAGTTAAGGTCAAAGGATGTCAATTTCTAAAAGTTTTATTGACAAATATTTTCTAAAAGATTTCACTTTTGACCTCCCTTAAGAGGCAACAAAACGAAAATTAAAGTGCTATATGTCTTGTCAAGTTTTTCGTTAAAATGATGGATTTTAATTATATATATATATCGTGAACTAATTATAAATCACTTCAAACATATATTTTAGAATCAATTATTATAAAAATCAATAATTTTATTATATATGATAATATATATCAGATGTCACTGTATTTTTTTTTTTATATTGTCAATGTTTTCTAATTAAGTCTAAATGATGACACATGAAGGATCTTTCCAACATAATAAATAACTTTATAAAATATTTATTATAACTTTTAAATAAATATTCATATATGATTGTCTAATTAACTTGATGAATGATGACAAGGATATAATAAACTTGATTTAAAGTTTGTCAAAAAGAAAAGTTGCACTTAACTTATTTTAGAAGCTAGTAAATATCCCACATGACCCACTTTTGTTTCTTATATATTATGTATAAAACTAAGCCCCAGAAAATAAATGGTAACATAATCAAATCCTAACAAGGTCCAATCGTTAAAACTAGCTTCATAAACAAGGAAAGAACAGGGGTAATTCAATGATTCCAAACATAATAACTACATAATCTCGTCTTTCACTTTTCCAAGTGCTTAAAATTAATTGTTCCCACTGTTGTTTCTGTCATAAAGTTGTTGTCTCCTTTTGGATCAGTCCCTTTTGTTTGTGCTTAGTGATGTGCAAGTTCGTGTAGTGCATGTGACAGCAGCCACTTGCAAATTAAACTAGAGAGATCAGCTTTACTTAACAACCAAGGAGCAAATGCAAGATAAATTTTGAGATGATCAAAAGTTGAAGCTTCCTCCGAAAACAAACTCGCACTGAACTTTGAAACACATTCATGTACAGTAAATGGCTAAAGGCTTTGCTATAGTAGTATAGTGCTCTAAAGTTAAATATATGTTCCTTGCAAAGCCATGCCAGTGAACCGTGGCCAAGGCCAAACCACAAGGTGGTATCAACTATGCTTTGTTCCCACTAGTCCAGATAGTTCAGATGATTCAGACATAGAATCTGTAGTCCTACCAACTAGTACTCCAACTCCAACTCCAACTAGTAGTAGTACATGGCAAGAACTTTCTTCACCATGGTCACCACCACTGTCACCGCCACCGCCGCCACCACCACCACTTCCACCGCCATCACCCCTGCTACTGCCACTGCTGCCACCACCACCACCGCCACCACTAAACTCAGAACCTCAAATTGATTGGCGTTTTCCACCACCCTCGCCAGATTTTCTACCGCGATCGCCACCACTTCAGCCTATGCAGTCATGGGCTGAGTCTACAATGTTTAACATTCAATTACAACATTTTAGACATCAACCTACTAGTGAAGGTCACGTGTTTGAAGCTGATCAAAGTGACTGCTCAATGAATAGCATTAGAAGGGTGAGAGTCTCAGAGATAGATAAACTCTCTCACTGTCCCATTTGCATGGATGAGTTTAAAGTGGGTGACCAAGCATGCAGGTTACCCTGCAATCACACCTACTGTTCTGAATGCATTCTTCGTTGGCTTAACAACAGCAAAACATGTCCTGTTTGCAGGCTTAACTTGGATGGTTGTAGATTTGATAGCATAGATGATAATGGTTTGGATTCACAACCTGAAATCCCACCACTGCCACCGTCCCCACCAGTAGTTCATAATGAAGCATCGTGGGAGTATTTTTTCCCAGACTTTCCTGGTATACCAGGTGTAGAGAATAGCGCCGGTGGTGACTCAGATGAAGCTAATTATGACAGTGCATGTGATGAGCTTGTTGATTCTCACGAGGATGATGCTTCTCAGAGTGATTCTGCGCCACTAATTTAACCATCAGTGTAGTGAAATTGTAACTGTTGGAATTTCTGGATGGTGATATTCATGACTTGCAAATTGGGTTGATTTTTAATTAGTTTGTGTAGCATGCATGCATATCTGTCCTTGATTCTCATGGTTCTGATCGCGAGATAAATTGGATTTTTTTTGCTTTGAACGTGGAATTCGGCAAAAAATTTAGTTTTTAATGCCATGTGTTAATTTGGAGATTTGACGGACTTCAACATGATTAAATATGCTTCATAAATAGGACCAAAGACATACATCAAAAGATAAATAAATAAATGGCTTAAATATGTTTTTAATCTCTTAAATTTAAGGTAAATTTATTTTTAGTCTCTCAAATTTAAAATTGTTATTTTTAATCCCTATAATTTCAAAAAATCTTATTTTAGTTCTTATATTCAAATTTTGTTAATAAATTTATCAAACATTATTACATAAAATCTACCTATTAATGTTCCTATTAGTGAAAATATCACCTTAAATTCAATTAATAATGCATAACTGTCTTAACTTGTCACTTTCAAATATCTTATTGATGACCTGAAAGATTAAAACAAGGTTTTTGAAAATTATAGGGATTAAAAATAACCGTTTTAAATTTGAGAGATAAAAAATAAATTTATCTTAAATTTGAGGGACAAAAACATATTTAAGCCTCTGTAATTCCGGATAATAAGCTTAACATATTTAAACAACGTATGTTTTATCTAATATATCTACCTGGGTTACAGTTTTAATTGAATATAGCATCATGCAAATTATCGTTAGAGTTAATTATAAAATGGATTACCTCTGTGGTTCCGGATAATAAGCTTAGCATTTCAACTAAATTTTGATACCAAATGATTGTTTAGCGAGACTGAAAAAAATATGCTATGACAATGAGTATCAAGACCTTAACAAGACAAAAAAAAATAAAATAAAAGATCTTTCTCTGAATTATGTGAAATTTCAGCTAAACTTCAGAGCATTATACAAACACTAAATTTCACACACAATAATGAGAGTAAAGATATTTCATCAATCAAATTTGTTACAAATCACCTCTTTAGTACCATATTTATTGTATGAATGTTCAATCAATATATGGTAGGATCATAAAAGAAACGTTGAACAAGTAGTGTTGATGTTTTGCTCCCTTTTTAACTTTCAGGCCAGTGAATCTGAAGTCATTGTAATCTTCACAAGCGTCCGGGTTGATAGTGAGTACCAGCATGGAACCCTTCTGTGTATGCAGTGTTCTTAAATATCATCTGCAGTAGGGATCATCTGGTGATCAGAACCACAATTTTTTTAATATGATAAAGGCTTCTTACCAATGGTATGTAGACAATAATTATTGCAGGGAACCAATGCTAAATTTCATTCCTTTGATTTTCCAAAAAGGAAAATAGTTGGCAGGCATCATCAGAGACTTACAGCAAGGTTTGCCAAATCTGAGCTAAGACCTTTTTGTAAATTCTCAGACACTAGAACGCCGAGATTCTCTCCATGTTGCTTTATTCTGTCTTCCTTGATCTGTATGATAAAGATTTTTGAGGTTTCATGAAGAAAGCATGGAAGTTTAAAATTGCAAGAGGGCATACAGTTCTCTTTACCTCTGAAAGCAACAATCTTGATGTTTTATGCAATATTTCTTCAACAAATTGCTCAACATCTGCAAAGTTGCCTGATGAATGAGCTTTGTTGACTAGTTTTTCCTTTGTATTTTTCCCACATACGGATGGATTGACAACGTTTGCTGCATCAGAATGATTGACATGTTAGCAAGGCATTCACTCTTGTTACTAATCACTAGGATCTTCAAGTCACAAACATAGGGACGTATAAGTTATAACATGTTTGGTTTTGCTTAATTATTTTATACAAAGAAATAAAATAAAAATGGATACAGTAAACATGTTTGGTTTCACCATCTCCCATACAAATTTTCGAAAGCAGCAAACGATGTAAAAACTATGTGATAATTTTGTAATCGTTTTTATTTTTTGTGTACAATGGTACCAATAAGATTTGAACTTAGGACCTTATATAAACTACCCTAATCCCCATTCATTAGGCTGACCCTATTGAGTTTGTAATCTTTCATTAAAAAACAGGAAATGAAAATAAAATTGCTTTTTCAAACGAAACAGGTCCTAACTAAACATTCAAGGATGAGCACAAGTAGCCCTGAATCCTGATTACAAAATTGGCAACCCATCCATTCGGATGCAAATCATATTTACTTCAAATTTGATTCCAAAATGAGAAACTTGGGTGAAGGAAAGGCATTTATGAAAACTATCTTCTAAATAACAATTGTAAATAGGAATTTACATTACATAGACTTATGCAACTTTCCTAACAACTTCTTGCCTAGAATCGAGCTGGACTACATTACAAATCAGCAAATAAAGAAACGATTCTGTTACAACTTACAGAGGAAAGGGAAATTAAAGGAAAGACCTGTTCTAAAATATTACAATCTACCATAATACTCAAACAGAGGATGACTGTAAGGGAAAGAATCAAAGCCACTCAGCTACACAAAGCAACATTATTGGATGCAAAATTATAAGAAAGATCGCAAACTTCCAACTAACCAGATGGTCCTTACTAGAACCACCAGCCCAACCAAAGGAAATCCGTCATAAAAGGCTAGGCAGGCTGCCAGAAATCAATAAAATATAACAACACCTATCCTACATTGGACAAAAATCTAAAGCTTTTTACTCATTCATAAAAATCATATTATGCAGGATCATCAAATTTGGCTCTCTGCTAGCTTTCTGACATCCTTTTGAGATGATATCCTATTCCACTCGAGATTGCTTATATTTCAGATGAAAAAGTAAATAGAGAAGATTCAGTGATAATATATTACACCATGTTTTAAAAAATCAAGATCGGGTATCAGGTATGCTCCTCTATGTGAATACCATCCAAATAAAAAAGCAGGCAGACAATGAAGCAAAAAGCAGGTGCTGTAATGTAATTACTAAAAAAAGTATTGTTTCCGGGCTTGTGGATACATGAATGAGTTTTTACCTGAAATCATCTTGGACTCCTTATCCACAGAAACAAGGTTTCCGTCTACAGGAATTTGGTATGAAGGTTGTTTTTCTGGTTGATCAGGCAAATTTATTGAGCCAGATGGAATTAGAGCAGCTAGATCGGGTGGATGATCTTTTCCCACTGGCGGATTGGTCTGCAAGGGGATAAAGAAGACATTAGGATGACAAATAGGTTATCTAATAAAAAAAAGACAGGAAGTGCCCTCTCAAATTTACTCACCTCGAAATCAACATATGAAGGATCCCTTCCTATTGACTTAAGAAATTTGTCGAGGTCATTAGAGTTTATAGCTGCAAGCATGTAGAGGATTAGACTCTTATTTATAGACCAGTGTAGTGCATCAAAGCATAATGGATCACCACATTTTAATCTAGTTAATAGCAAGTGACAATGGAGCAAAACTATGATGCGTAAGTATTATATTGAATGGTCAACAACGTTGTCACATAAATGGGCTAACATATATTCAATAATCAATAGGAATAAGGAAGGAAACATTTCCATAACAAATTTAGTGAAACACCTAATTCTATGATTTTGATAGTTTATCGTCATGCACTAAAACTATAAGTTCAATTATGAGAACTATAGTTCAGGAATAGAACTCTATCTTGCAAATGCTTTCTTCAATTGATTCGAGAAACTTATCTTATTTCTCAATTAAAGCATCACCAAACCTAATCCAGGATTTTAATCCAAAGCATCCCCTTTATTCAGAATAATATTTGTTCATAGTCTCATCTCGGCTAACTAAAATTTAATACTGTGATTACTAAGGTTACTTCAAAGTATTAGGATTTTCTAAAAATAAAGCATTATTCAAAAAAATGTAATACCATCCGCAAAATATGATATACTAACAACATTAAGATTATGTAGTTATAGTTCTAAATTCTTAACAAGAAGGCCGTATGTTATAGAACAACACTTATATGAAAGAAATGCTTGTTTTATAAGTTTTCAGGGTTAGTACAAAATGTGCAACTGGATTTTTCGTTTCACAAAGGAGACTTCTCACTTACAAATTGTCATGTCATTTGATAGTGGATGGAAGAAGCAGTGTTCCTGAGTCTTGAATCCTTGATCCAATAACAGTGAAACATCTCTTAAGAAAGGGAAAGATGTTACACACATAAGACAAATTAGTTTCTTTCAAATATATTTGCTGATTCTGTCTTAACATTGTTTATAAACAGTAAACACCCTTGAAAGCATAACACCACTACATGAGGAGATCCTCAACAGGTCAATACATTAACCTATAAGCATGCTCCAGTTCATCATTCAATTGAAGGGCATTTTCTAGCTGATGGAAGAAGTATAGATAAATGTAGATTCAGATCCACAAACAGAAGAAACTTTGTAAAAAAAAATTGTCATGGATCTCATAACAAACTATGTTCATATTGAAATATGCAAATATCTCTAATTATTTTATGTTTCATAGTTCTTTATGTATAATATCACATCTCACAGAATCAGAAAACTTGATCAATCAGTCAGAAAATAACTCCAAAGCATGGTACCGCATTAATAACAAGCATTGACATTTAACAAGAAAAAAAAAAGATAGATGCCTCATATGTAGGAAAATAACAATAATGATGATGATGTATACATACCGTGCAGATTCATTCACTACTGCAAATGGAGTGACACAACCCAAGGGCACCTTGTGAGTAAGGAAAAACAAGGACTTTGAATTAGTTAATGATAATTTCAACCAAGTAATTTGGTATATAATACTACTAATATATTACTGTCCAAAAAATACTACTAATATATCAGATTAAGAAATGTTTTTTGTAACCAAGGCAGGAACAAATCCATTATCCATAAATGGTATTAAATGAATTAATACCCCACAAATGCAATTAGAGAATGAATTTATGTCCCAATAACAATTAGTTTTCTCGTGCACTATATAATGGATAGCATCAAGCAACATAGTAACATCTTTCATAAGAACCAACTTAGCCAAGAAGTGCACAGAAACATGTCTCAATATCAGATAATATACCTCTTAGATATCTGTTAATAACTTAATTTAACGGTTGAAAACAGTTTCTTTGACAAGGTAAAATAAAGGCAGAATACGTATCCAATAATAATAATAAGTAAAGAAGACAAAATGAAGGTTTAAGCACTAAAAGGATAGAAAAAAGTCATAGACAAACCTGAAGTAGTTCACCTAGAGCCTCTGAAGGCGCCATTCTTAGACCACCTTTTCCTAAACCTAGCCGCTGAGATAACACTGCTCGGCTTTGACACAAGAAATAATTATCATGGGTATCCATAAAAGCAAGTTCAAACAAGCAGGTCACCACATTCTACTCAACAACAAAATTACTCTTACCTTTTATATCTACTTTGGTATTCTTTAAAGCAGAAACAAGATAAAACCGCTGTTTCTTGTCCTGTAAAACCAAAATAATCAGGGCAAATGATTACTTAAACATCAAAAAGGGTGTTTTCTGCCTCAAATTCTAATTTCTAGACATGCATTACCTTCAAAAACAAACTTTTACTCAGTCCACCTTCCAGATGTCCAACATACTTTTCCTGTAGGAACATGAATATATAGTAAGGAAATAACAAAAGACACATGACCACAGTGTGCACAATACAATCTACATTCTTCAAGCACTTATTATTACCCCTTCTTCAATTGTCAAAATAGCTGGATGCTCATACTGGGAAAAATTAATATGAAGCTCCTGAGAAAAGCAAAACAACAACGATCAGCACAAGGAATGAACTGAAAAAATAAAGTCACAAGTAAACAGTGAATCATGGAATCTAAGTGCATCATCATCATCACCATCACCATCACCATCATCATCATCATCATCATCACAAACAAAAGAGCATAATTGTGGTGCATTGAAAAATTGATTGATTCAAAGATCACGGGCCACAGAAATTGAATGACATGGGACAGTGAAGCACACCCAGATGAAAATAAAGTGAGTTAATTCATTATGAATAGTTAAAAGAAAATGGGGGTGGCATTGAATTAGCACGATGGTGAAAAAGAGAACCTTTAACCGCGCAAGAAGGTGTTCCTTTGAAAAACCCATCAGTTTGTGCAGAATTGAAGAGGCGTTTGCAGAGGGAGATCACCAGAACTACACTGCAGATTGCACCCAAGAGCCAAGATATATTACACTCCTAGTTTATTTGCCTTAGTTGCATTCGTGGAATATTGGAATCAAATTCTAATTACCTCAACTAGTTCTCTTAAATTTTGGACATATTTGATTCTCCCAAACTCGCATATATTTTTCTTAAAGGAGATTCTTTGGAGCTGAGTAAAGTTCTATATCAAATTCAACAATTATTTTAATTTTGCCTATCTATAAAAGTGGCTAGTAGAGTTTAGTCTAAAGATCCTAGTGTCATCCTTTTTCAACCATTTTTTTCTAAATTTTTTAAATTATCATTTAAAAAAAAAACACTTCTAAAAAATGAGAAAAAATTGATATAAGTTTTTTCATAAAATAAAATTAACTTATGTATATGTTAAATTAATAAAAATGTCTTCATACAAATTTATTTATGTATAAGATAATTCTAATTTTTAAAAAATTTTATTTTTATTTTTATTTTTATTTTTTTAAAGTACTTTTAGAAAATTCATCCAAACAAACTTATTTAGTTTAAAATCAGGAATATTTAAATCAACTTAAAAAATACATTTCATTTATTTCTCATTACTTCTATAAAAAAATTATCATTTACTTACAAGGATGTTGATTCGGTAATTAAGGTCCAAAGCACTCTTCAAAATCATTTAGTTCAAATATTATGTAATTTTTAATAGGTACATTGTATTAATTTTATTAAATATTGAATAGAGCTGATATGAAAGGACCTCACTGAAAATAAGAGAAAACTTAAAATACTCCATTGAATATTGATACAATTGAAACTTGAAAAATTCAAATTCCACAATTATATGTCAAACTAAATGTTGTTAGCATTTTTATGTAGTCGTAAGTATCAAGTTTTGTTATATGTGTATTTGGCTAGTCCAAGTATACTTACATATTGGATTTTTTACTTCTGAGACTTTAATTTGATGCTACATCCATGATATGCGTTCAACTTAAAAAGACGAGTGCCTGAAGTAATTCTTCAGGCTTTATTACATGTGTGGGTTTGCTGGCCCAATATCAAATGTACCTTAGCGTACAAAATTTTGTCCTAAATGTACCTAAGCTCAGTTATATACGTGTGGGGTAGTAGGGTCGACAACATATAAGAAAACTTGGCCCAATGCATATTTAGTCCACCTTATAATTAATCCTTAAACTAATATAAGAAATTTTTTTCTTATGTTGTATAATTAATCCTTAAACTAAATAGTCTAAACATTTTCTCATTGAAAAGATATTTTACTTATAATTAAGATTACATCGCTTTTTTATTTTATTGATTTATTCACTAATCTCTACAAAATCATCTGACTATTGATATTAGTTTAAAAGTTACGTGACTCTAATACTTTATAGATACGTAAGGTCAAGAAAGTTCTTCCTTTCGAAGCAAATAAATAAAAAAAAACCCTTTTTTTTACCCAAATATTGTACTAATCATTAAATAAATGTGACGTCATAGTTAATTAATTTTAGGTGAGATGATATTTTAAATGTTATGATTAATTTGTTTAATTAAAAGTAATCATCTTAGAACGAACGACATAAGATACTAATACATTCCTTACTAGTAATCGACTCCCAAATCTAAATTTTGATAGTGTAGGCCATTTTTGTTTTCTTGGTTTTCCTAATATTTCCCAAAAATAAATATTAGTGACAACTTTATTGATTTATTTCAAAACAGTTTATTTTCGCTATCCTGTTGCAATCCAGGTTGCAACAAAGATTATTGCTTGACCGATTACCAACCAAAATGAACCTCCATCAAAGAAACATTTGGTGAGGGATGATCAATTACTCTATCCCTTTTGTAAGATGGTTTTGGAAGATAGCTCTCACTTATTCTTTTCATGTGCGTATATATAAGAGGTGTGAAAACTGTCTTATGGATGAGTAAACTTACAAGTAGTCACACATATGACATTACAACTCATTTTCCACACACATCAATGGTTGATGGACTAATCAAGGAGGAAAATTGAAAGATTATACGATCCCAATTATGTGGAATATTTGGCGACAAAGGAATGAGTGTGTGTTTAGAGGGGAATAAGTTTGTAAAGATAAATTGATGCACAATATAAAATACATGACATGGATATAGATTAAACATCTGACTGATGATGAGAGCAACCCTTATGTTCTATGAGATACCAATTCAAGTGAATGCTTGTACAACAGTCAATAATAAAGTGAAGCCGGGTCAATACAGAAAGAGAACAAATAGATCTTAAGAAGGATACTGCTAGAGGAGGTGAATAATCTAGGTTGGTATTGGAATAAGTCAAGTAGGAAATTCGATGATAAGGAATAAGATGATCACATGTGTAACATGTTTTGTTACAATAGAGAAATTATTTTGTACCTTACTTGGATTAATATATATTTAATTTAAAACAGCATAAATATATATTAAACTGGGAACTAAAAATAAGTGTTTTATTCTTGTTCTTTTTTTTTTTTTGTAAACACCTTTTGATATTTCTGGAACAGGTTACATATATAAATATATTTTGCTAAAAAAAGGAAATATAATCAATATTTGTTCACTTTGCCCACCATTTACAAAAATAAAAGTATTTGGAATTGTGAACATATATGCTCATGCTTCATGGTAATTGTTTTTTGACAACATGGAATAACACATCTTTCAAACAATTGACAATCACATTGAAATGTATTTTCAGTATTGTCATAGTCAACTAGATACCTTTGGATTACAAAATTTACTCAATTTCACATTATTGTCATACACTAAAAGGCTAAACTAAATCTAAAGCGAATATAAACTTGTTCTTTGTGAAATTTTCGGAAGCTTTAACTTTTGTAAGCATCCACTTTAATATTGTCCATCTTCTGCACCTTTTTATTTATTTATTAGATAGTTAATTAAAAGCAACTTTTTCTTTTCTCAAATTCTTCTATCAATATAAACAGGCATGGTAGGATATCTGTAAATTATTATTGAAATATGCTTTCTTTATCATTAAAAAAATATAGATTAATTTTTTTCCATTGATTTCTTTTATATTTTTATAAGAATATCCGTGTAATACAAAGCATACATGTGCTACGTTTTAAAATTAATAAGGTGCTCGTTTTGCTTACTACCTCTTTAATTTAAAGTTGAATGAAACTGATTCTAAACTGAACATAGCTAAAATGTGTGACTAAAATAATCTCAAACAAAGTTTACCTTACACCACTATTTGCAGTACGATAAATTAATTGAATATAAAACAAACCAACCCTTAATAACAACTTTTGGGTAACTGGGCCACAAGAAACCTCTTGGAACTGAAAACTAACAGTCAACAGTTCACACGTTTTAGACCAAATAATTGCATTTAGTAAAATTCTGTGGGCTGGGCATCGAAGGATGAAAACAATGTTGTGGGCTTCATTGTTGTGGACAAGCCTTCATAGTAAAATCACACCAAGTATAATGGAGCCACCTGCAAGCTAAGGAAAATGATGAAGACAAATATGTCTTTGCGAGATTCTCTATGATATAACTAAGTTTCTCGTTCGTAATCTGTACAATCCAAATTTTTATCAAATCACATATCGCAATATATTGACTTTCTAATTCCTTTAAAAATTTATCTAAAAATTTGCGATATAACTAGAAAGACGTTTCAAATACCATACATGAATTATAAGATCTATCTTGAAATATGAGAGATCAACATGATACTTCCAAGTTTAATTATCATTTATATTAAAATAATTTTTCATTAAAAAAAATTGTTATATGAATACAAATTAGTTTTTAATTATTAAATTTGAAATATTACGTAAATCATGTTTATCAAATCTCTAATGCTCTCTTTTTAATATTCGTTCTATTATTGATAACAGTTTATTATTATGTTAGAAAAAATATTACTAGTATTTGTAATATGATATTATGTTTCCTTGATTGAAATCTAGTCGTATTATTGCTAAATAACAACCTCACTAAATCATGCCTTAATAAGGCCAAACCTCGATCATTAAACCCATGCCGTGTGTTGGATCTTGCCTTTCTTATTGTTGGGATATTATTCTTCGCCACAATCATCATTTCGTGAAAAATGAGTGAACCCACATGAAAAACCATAAATAATTGGTTTCTACTTTTCATTGTGGCTTGTGTATACGTGACTACATAATCATATCCCAAATGTCTTTTCCCGAACATGTAATTGATTAACACAAATACTACCACTAATCTTTGAATTGACAAATACCAATTGTGCCCGTTTTTGATTTCCGTATACAAATAAAGGCATCTTGTTCCTTGGACTAGCATAAATTGGTAGGCTAACCAAATAAAATATTGACAAACTTCCAAAGGGGAACTTAATCTGTAGACAACACCACACCCTGTTGGGTATAATTGCATTAAGCAAGGTAATCCCATGTTAATGTCAAATAAAAGGACCCTTTGTTTATTAGATAGATTACAAATCTTGGATTTGATTGACGGTTTGAGCTCACATGATGTGTCTCAACATGCAACGTTTAAGTTGTCATTTAGTTATATCACTTTCATGTGCATGAAATAGAAAAGATGTGTTAATTAAAAGTCTTGCATTAGGGACATAATCCTAAGTAGGCCCAAAAATGTAGAATCACAGAAGCATATGTGCCCTGATTTTAGAGTAGAGTCAAAGGCATGGGTTGGTTGATCCTATACCTTTTCTACATATCTATGAACATGAAATACCAAAAGGCAAAAGCTTTCTTATGTACATATGCATTGTGAGAAAGCAGCCATGAAGGGCACCTTGTTGAGACCAGATACAATGTAAAAGGAACAACTGAGAATGGGATCCCATGCCCTCGCCCATTTCATAAGAGGACAGGTCATGTGTGCTAATTGGCTCAACCCTTGTGATTCGAGTTCATACTTACACCAAAAAGCATCAAACTTTGTCTTTCCTTCTTCTCATCATGCAAATACTATACGATTTCCTTTAAATATAATAATATCTCTTAATGCTAATATACTATCAATGTAAAAATCAATCAAAAATATTATTGATATCATTTTAAATAATTATTATAAAAGTTAATAAATTTACGATAATTTATGATTAGATCGATGGCAGTATTTTACTTTCATGTCTGCTTCCATGAAAACACCAGCTAAAGTGTTGCTTGTATTAAAAGTTGAGTTGAAAATCAAGATTTTTTTTTCGCTAGAAAATACAAACAACGTAGGCAATATTGAAGAATACCACACTATCAAAAATCACCATACAATCAGAAAATCTTAGATAGCTTATTATCTTGGTCTTGGGCTTAATCAAGTTAATTGAATCTATATAGTTATAAATTAGAAATCACTCTTAATATAATTATAAAATAATTTTAAACTACATATTAAAGTATTGAAAATATTTATAAATGTATTTCAATTAAATTAACTTAAAAAATATTAAAACAAGGGAACACATAATTGTTCTTTAGGCAAGGAAGAGAATGAAAGAGTAAATGGTCCAACAAGACACAATTTACGATGGTTCAATTTTCCACATTTTGTACGAGTATGATTCCTTCTTCTCGGTGAATTGGTAAGCATCTCTGACATACTCCCCATGCATTTAACAGTTCCCTTATTTAAGTATAAAATAATTGAAACTTATTTAGTATAGTTATAGTCGGCAAACAATTATATATATATTTTTTTTTAAAGTTGGTGTTATTCTTGAGTTTTATCATGCATAAATATTTATTATTAAAATTTACAATAAATATATAATATTAAGGTAAAACTTTAACGAATAAAACATATATCATCTACACATAAAAAATCGTATCAAAATTTTATTAAAAAAGGTTAAAATTCACTATAATAAATTTTACGTTTCCGAAGAAATTAATTACGATAAAACCCAAAAAAACTGAAACTCATTTTTAACTAGTATCTTTTTTATTTTCATACACAATTTAATTAGGATATAACGATAAATTTAAAGTGTTATTTATTTTTGACATTCTCATCAAGTCATAAATTATTATATATGCTATTTTTTTATAATAATTATTTTAAAAGTTATACTTTAAATTATTTTTTAATTATTAGATAATATATAAATATCTAGGTTAACGACACACAAAAATTAAACTCATAAAAATAAGTTTCAAAATTAATTAAAAAATGTTAGCCCGATTTCGTGTATATAAAACATTTCCCTGCAAATAAATGGTTACCCCATACCCTCCTCATACGGGCCAAAGATTTCATCATAATAACATAAACTAATAAAAAAAAATCAAAGAAAGGAATTGATTATAACTGAAGACCAAAGACAATGAAGACCATATATATATTTTTTCCGTTTCATTTATAAACTACATAATAATACATAGAAAACTATTAATATAATCGACATGATCACAAGCATTGCATCAACAATACTACAGATGCAGAAATCCACAAAAGAGAGACCAAAAATTGTCTTATCACCCCTTTATGAATTTCTCCCCTAGAATAAGTAGTAGTTTTAATTTGGTCACAGTCAGTGATTGATGATATCTTCACGTAACACCCCCTGACAAACGAATATGAATTTAATTTGTGAGCAAAAATAAAAAAATAATAATGGGTTGGCTTGAAAATCTCTCAGCAGAAACTCCACAAACGGATGTCACTTTCTTCATACAGATCACCAAGCAAGTGTGTTGAATCAATGTCAAAGAATGCCCCATTCAGCATTTGATCAACATACTTTGGTGATTGCAACCCCTCCAAGCCATACCAAGGTTCCATCATGGCCATTGATTCATTTGCTTGATCCCCAAAAAACGGTGAGAGAAGTGAGACATCATCATCTATTTGTTCTGAGGGAGATGATGATGATGATGAAGATGCAATTGATGGTGATGAGACCAACGAGGATGAAGAAGTTGAAGCAGGAAGAGAAGAAGGTGGGGTGGTAGGAATAGGAATAGCATTTGCATTAGCATTGTCAACAAAACTATTAGCAGCAGCTGCAGCAACTCTTTGAATTGATTTTGGGGACATGGCAGTGTCTTGAGGAATGTTGATGTAGTGTGATGAAGTTGAAGGGAAGTTGAGGTTGGCTGAAGAGCCTTTGAGGCATAGAAGTGCAGCATCATAGGCTCTTGCTGCTGCCTCTGCTGTTGAGTAAGATCCTAACCATATTCTTGTTTTTTGGTTTGGTGCTCTAATCTCTGACACCCATGACCCCCAGCTTCTCATTCTCACACCCTTGTACTTCTTCTTGGTGTTGATGTTGGTGTCACTTGATGATGGTCTCATTGGCTTTGATGCCTCTGTGTGGATCTTGTTCTCTGGCTTCACCATAGTGCTTGATCAAAGATATGCTTCTTCAAGAACTAAAAGTGTTTGTGTGTGTGTGAAGGTTGGTTGGTTCTTTGATGTAAATAAAAAGATGTGTGTGAGACTCTCTTTGTGATGTGTGTGACTTTTTGGTTAAAAGTGGGGAATGGAGCATATGGAAGTGGGGGAGTAAGGAAGCTGTATTTATAGATGGAGACTTTGGTTTTAAGGTAGCAAAAGATATTACTAGTTAAGATGGGGAGATTGTTGACAGATGGATTTTGGTTAATTTTAATTTAATGTGTTCTTAAAATTACTTCTCTGTCCTTTATCTTAGTGAAGCTTCCTTTAGATACTATATCATGAATAAAAAAAAAAAACTAGTCCAATAATGATGAGCAAATAGAACAATACAGTAAATCTTCATTCGAGCAAATAAATAAAAACAGAAGAGCATCCTAGTAAACCAACTTGCTTGTGGAGAAGATATATCATGTTGGTTTTCATTATTATTACTTGGATCTTATTGATTTTGTGACAATTATTATATGGTCGAAATTATCTTGACCGAGGCAAATTATACAGCACCAAAAGATAGATATATTCTTAACTCATTCTTTAGCAGAGTATATCACTTATTATATATGAACTCATTAGAGAGCATTAAAATTTCTTGGGAGATTGATTTAGTCAAATCAAGATGCTAGTTAAAAATTGTCAACTGTTATTATTATTATTATTGAATTTAACAGTGTAAGATGCTCTGGTATTGAGTATTTTATGGAAATAGAATCATAAAGATGCAATGCGTTTTTTTGGCAGAGCAGTTACTAGTACGACCAAGACTATAAACATAAACGAGTGAACAATTTTTCAAACTTAACACCAAGAAGTTAAGTTAAAGGTGCAATCCATTAATGATCTATAGACTGAGCATTAATTTCATTATCCTTTTCAAGTCATCATCTTCCCCAGATGACATTTAAAAAATAAGTACATAAATTATAATACAAATCTATTGATTTTCGTAATAGTATTAATAAAATGCTGACATATACTTTAACACTAAAAGTCTTTAACACTTAAATTTCACAGATAGAAATTGGGTCCTTTAGACATAAAGTCAGGACTAGGATAAATTATGTACAGGAAGTGTTTGGTTAATAAACTAAATTTTCATTACATTGGTAGCCAATTAAACTGCAAAATACTACATATCCAATAAAGGGTTGTTTGGTATTTTTTGAGGGTTATTTATTAGTGATATTAATATATGTTGAGAGAAATAAGAATGTGTGTGTGGTACGAGGCAGCTTCCAGGATCCACAGGCTAAAGAGGAATTTGGAGGGTAAGGCGTTATGCAGAAAAAAAGTAAGAAGAGTGAAAAATGAAAGGGTTTTGCATATGCAAATGGAAGTGCAATGACACAGCTGTATTCAGCTGCAAAACCGCGTTTTGGGCCCTCCTTTCCTCATTAAACTGTGCCTTATTTTATTAATATGTGTCACACCAAACAAGTAGCAGTAGTACTTTAAAATATTGATATTTAATATTAATACGCGTTGCATCGCATTTCAATGCCTTGTTTGCAATCGCCTGCGTTACTTGACTTTTGGACACTCTTT